GGCAGGTCCAGGAGTCACCATTGTGGGAGCTGCTGATGGACAGGAAGAACTTTGGCAACCGATGGACCTGGGATCCAATCCCAGCTCCGTCTCTGCTTGGCTGTGTGGCCTTAGGAAAGTTCACTAACATCTCTGAGCCTATTGCCTCAACTAAAGCCTGACGACAATAATACCTGTCTCAGAGGATAAACTTAAGAGTGTGATAATAGGTACAAATTGCTGTGTGTTGGTGACTCTTACAACATAGGGGCTCGGGATAAACTCATTCTCCTTTAAACCCCATCCCCTTGTGGATCCCTGTGAGGGAACGGCTAGAGAAATTGCAGCGAGTGCTTGCTGCCTTGAAGAAACATGGAGGGGATGCGTTCCATGGGCCAGTGACAGGCAGGGCGACATCAGAAAGAGGCTGCCTTGAGTTGAGCTCCCTGGGAACCCCCACCCACCCCAACATGTCCCAAATGTGCAAAGAGACTGGGGCGCCTCATGTCAACCAGGCAGCGCGAGGCAGTTTCTGAGGAGGAACACGGGCAGGTCTTGGGGAGAACAGACTCTCTGGGCCCCCAAGATGGGCCAGTTGCTGTTTACAAGGCTAATGGTGTGTCCTGTCTTGAGGCCAGGCCCAGAACACATTTTGTGACATGGCATCTTTTGACCCTAATTTCTTGGAATCCATTTAAAAATTCACCCTCCTCCAGGGCAAGTTTTACCTCAGAATGTTTTTATAAATCATCTGGTTTGATCCTTATAACCACCACCCCAAGAGAAGGACGGGGCAGGCACAAGGCTTCCACGATCTCAGGCTACTGAGAAGAACTTTCTAGCAAACACCAGAACCAGGGTATTCAAGCAGTCAGTCTTGGGATGCTGTTTGCTTACCCTCACGCTGTTACCCATTACCGAAACTGCAGGGAAGCCATCTATGTGGGCTGTTCTCAGAGCCCACAGCGCTTGCTGTCTGGTTCTCCCTCCCCCTATGATGGTAAATAATTGAAAGGTAGATCCTAGCCAAGCTGGAGGCAGGCTCGAGGGCTCCTCTATTGTCAGGGGCCGCTGTTTTGGGCAGCTGCTTCCCAGAACTTGGAAAGCAGTTTCTCCGAGGGCTCCTGTGGCACTTTGGCTCTCAGTAGCTGTAGAAATTGGGGCTTTGACAGCTGAAATGACTTTCTCAAGGCCACACAGCCCCAGCAGCACAGGCCGGAAGGCCCTTTACCAGCTGGGACTTGGCACTGTCTGGGCAGGCCTCTGACCTCCTCGCCTCGGTGTTCCTGGCCGGCTCCAGCTGCCCTCCACTCTGTTTTGCCAATAATCAGAAGACTCTTCTTCCAAAGCAGAGGCTTGCACTTTAACCTTGGAACATAAATAAGATAAGTCCCTGGGACTTGTTTATGGAACGCATGGGGCTGGCCCGTGGTTCAGCAGAGGCATTGAAACGTCCCAGGATCTGAGGCTGCAAGCTCCGGCTTTATGCTTACTGGCTGGGGGATGTCTCTGGGCCTCAGTTTCCCTGTCCGTGTATGAGTGGGTAGTGCCAGTTGGACCCATTCCACAGAACCTGGCCTCTCTGAGGGCAGCAATGGACCGGGTTCCATCCTTACTCTGCCCCCGCCTTGTTGCTTGCCGTGTGACCTTGGTTGAGTTCCCTCTCCTCTCTGGGCCTCTCTGTCCTCATCTAAAAACACAGCGGAGATATTCCTGCTTTGTTGAAGTCACAGAGGGGAAACTACTTTACAAAGCCCAAGAGTCACAGATTGTGTGGGGTTTTATCCTTATCTTCAGTGATTCTCAGACCAGTAGTTCCATGAGAGGGACCTTCAGGCCTGCAGGAAAGCATGTAGGAAGAACTGAGCCACAGACCCTGGGCTGCCGAAGCTGTGGCAGGAAGCAGGCCCTTGGCTGGGCAATGTGATCCCATCGCTCCCATCAGCATAGTCAGGCCTACAGGCTGGGCATGATTCTTGGCGGGTTTCCCTGAGCTCCAGCTCCCTCTGCATCCCCAAGAATCTCCATGCCCCCAGTCTAGCCTAGTGTTCCCAGGGCTCATCCTAGGAGTGGGGGTTGCCAGGGTGCCTCCCCCAGTGGGACCAGCCCAGCCACGCCAGCTCTGGCAGCCTGCCTGCCAGCAGCTGGTATCCTATTACACAGTGTACAGTGAGGCCCAGATTAGACAGTGAGCTCATCGAGGCATGAATGGGGCACTGGGGGCTGAAGGTAGACTTGGGGAGATCACTGGGGCTCTCCCTGGACCCTCTCCCCTTCCTTCTCTGTCTCCCCTTCCGAGTCTCTCGAACTCTCGCTCTCTGTCTCCCTCCCATCCACACACTGACACCCTCTCTTGGAGCTTGCTGGAGATTGTCATGGCAACCTTCCAGCAAAATTATCAAAACACTTTTGCTCACAATCATACCAGACGAAGTGCTAATTCTGAGTGAGGCAGAAGCAGCTGGTAGGATGCTGAAGTCACCGGCTTTATGTGGAGGGCCCACTGCGGGGGAGGGGGGACTCCAGCGGGAGGTGACCGGGTGGTGCCAGGGAGCAGGACCACCAGGAAAGGCCCTGTCGCCTGCCTGCCCCGGACACTGTCTGTTGCTGACCGTTCCTCGCCCCTGACGTCACCTTCACATTCTTGTTCCGCTGACACACCCCTGAATGCACACATGGTAGCTGGGCCAAATACCCCCAAAGGGCAGACTGACCCGAAGTGCAACGTCTAGAATGGCCAGCACCTCCTTCAGCACTGGAGGCCTGAGCGCCACTCTGGGCAGACTTCTGGGTGAGTGTGAGGGGACAGCAGCTGACCCAGGCTTCTGGCTGGCAGCAGGTCTGTGGCAGGGTGGCAGAGCAGCCACAGGAGGGGTTGACCCTCTTGTTCCCCCTTGCCACCAGCCCTCAGGAAGCAGGGGACGACCTGAGAACAGTTCTCCCCCGAGCTGTGCAGCCTCTGTGGCTCACTGCACGTCTGCGCCCCGGGATGGACTGGGCATCCCTGCTCCCACCTGACCTGGCCCAGGTACCACAGGCTCCCTGCGAAACAAAGTCCTGCAAACAGCGGAAGAACTGATGTTGCTTTTCTTAAGCCCCGGCTCTGCCCGAAAGCCAAAGTGTGGGTGGGGATGGTGGAGGAGGTGGTCTGCTGCCATCCTCCCGCCCCATCTGCTTCCCCGGCAGCCCCTCCATGGAGGCGAACCTCCCCCGCAGCCTCAGCCCGGGCTGCGTGCCACTCTCGGGCCCAAGAGGAAGCATCTACTTCCTGTAAATGGGTCCCCTTGTCCCCGCATCCTCCTGAGGATTCTAGAATGTTAGAGCTGGAGGGGCCCACGGCAAATCAGAGCTAGCCTCCTCACTTCACAGACAGGGAAACTGAGGCTCAGAGATGGGAAGCAGCTGGTTCAAGGCCACAGAGCATGTGGGCAATGGAGCTGGTACTGCGGCCCAGGCATCTGACTTCTGTCTAGTCCTGTGCTGTTCCCATCACTTCAAAGGGACAGTGAGATGAGGTGGTACAGGGGATGAGCACTGATTTCTGAGTCAGGCAGACCTGGCTGTGAGTGCCAGCTTCAGCACCTAGCACTGGGTGACCCCGAGTCCTTATCTGTAGAATGGGGGTGATACTAAAGTTCCACTCAAAGGATGCCTTGAGGATGATTTAGCACCATTGATACAGCACCAGCACATAGTAGGTGTTCAACACATGACATTTCTGTGTCCCTCCTCTATGGTCCCAGGGTACAGGCCTGTTGAGAAGAGGAACCATCCTGCATTTAATAGCCACCCCTGACCCAGGGTGGCCAGGGGAAGCTACTTAGCCTGTTCTGGAAAAGCCAGCATTGACCCTAAGAACCCAGCAAGGCCAGAGGTCAACAGGAAGCAGACCTTGATGGCTGGGTGGGCCCCACCACCTCTCCTGGGCTACCTACCCTTCCCTGTACCTGCTGTCTTCACTGGCTGTCTTGCCCCATGAGCCTTACGGAAGGAAAGTCCTTGGCCTTTTGACCTTTGGGGGAAGGTAGGTGTGTGTATGTGTGTGGGGGGGGTGTCTGTTGAAAGAGGCTGATATCCTGAGAAGCCCCCTAGGACCTCCTTTGGGTGCTGGCAATGACACCCACACTGGTTCCCCTGAACGTCCATGCCTGGATACATTACTTCGAGCTCAGCATTGCTCTGTCTGGCTTCCTCTTTTATACTATGAGGCAGGCGGAGAGGATAAGCCACCTAAGCCCCCAGATGCCCTCTGGAGCAGGAGCTTTGAGCCACCTTTCCCTGACATCTTCTCAGCCGTGTGGGGAGCTGGGTAGGTTTGGCCATGAGACAGTGGAAACAAAAGGAACTCATAGCTCATGCTTAAGACACTCTGGGTACTGTGCTAGGTGCTTTCCATACAGTAATTGTTGACTCCCAAGGACATTACTTACACGCTGAGGTGCAGAAACTGAGTCCAGAGAGTTGGACCTGCCCAAGCTTACAGAATGGGCCTGTGTCCGACAAGTGTTCAAATCCAGGTCTGTGCAGCCCTTGGCTGACTCCTTCTGGAGGGCTCAGGACGGGGTGAAAAGGCTGCCCAGAGTTGGGCTGGCCTGCGAGACATCCTGATGGAGAGGAAGCCGTAGATGGGAAGACTCAGCAGTGGGACCAGGAATCTAGGCCGGGTGGAGCTCAGGTCCCGTCCTCCCCACCCTCTTCCTCAAGGCCCCTGTGAGCAGGGCCAAGGCCAGACTTCCAGGTGGGTGGAGATGAGGGGGCCTGATCTCATGGCTGACTTGGGACGCTGACTGTGAAGCAGAGGTCTCCTTTCCTCGTGTCATCTCCCTGGGCCAGGGAAACTGAGAGAAGTGATCTAGGGTACCCCAGTCCCTAGCCTGGGAGTTTGGGGTCCGGACGAGCTGCATGTGTTAGAAAGGAAACCCTCGGGGACATGGTGTGGCCTCCTCACTGGCTGCCAGACGCCGTGGGAGCAGCATCGGGGAGAGGTGGAGCAGGGTGGTGGTGGTACCGTCACGGGAACCATGAGCTCCTCCTCTGTGCTGGCGCTGGGGAAAGACAGACAACGCCAATGCGAATCAATTGATAAGAAGGCCTTTCAGACAGTGGTAAATATGCTAGGAAGGAAAGGGGGATAGAGCGACTGAGGGGCAACCTTAAGTCGGGTGGCCAGGGAAGGCTGCTCTGAGGAAGTAGCATTTGAGCCGAGACCGCTGCAGAGCAGAGAGAAGTGGCTTTCCCCAGGACACACAGTACATTCAGCTAGAGCCAGGCTAGAACCCATCTCTGGGCTCCCATTCTAATAATCTTCCTCCTTCTAGAAACACCCTTCTCTTGGATTCTTGGAATCACAGCTTCTCTGAGCCCTTGATCGGCTTGCCTGCCTCCCAGTGTTGGCTGGTCCCAGTCCTCCTGTGTCTGGAAGGCCGGCTACATATACCCCGATGACTCCCAACGCCATCTTTCACCTCTCCACTGAGTTCCAGTGTCCTGCTTTTACCTCCCTCCTTGGATGTCTAATGATTCTCTTGGTTAGGACAATGCTAAGTCAGTATAATAGAGACCTGAAATTAGAGTAGTTTAAAAATCTTCAGTTGACTGCTCTCTCATCTGATAGCTCCAAGAGAAGCGTTTCAAGCTGGTAGATCATTCAGCTTCACAAGGGCATTTAGGAACCCAGATGAATGATAGTACTGCGATCTTTAACACGAAACTTTCACACTCTCTGGTTATTGCTCTTTCAAGCCAATGTGAGGGTAAACATGGACATCTATGGCAGGAATTTCCTCTTAAGCAGCTGAGGCAGAAGTTGAACAAGTCACTTCTGCTCATATTCCACAGATGAGAATTTAGACATATGGCCCACCTAGCTGCAACGGAAGCCAGGAAACGTGATGCTGGGTGCACAGCTTCAGTCTTCACCACAGTCCATCCTCTAGAAGTGCCGAGGTGAGGACTTCCCTGCCCTGGTGGTGAAGGAGCTTCTCGTGGGGTGATCCCTCATCTGTGTCTCCCTGGTCCTTAGCTCTGCCCTTTGAGCAATTCCTCCTTGTCTGTCACTTTCCATTACCACCCAACAGGATGTTGGAAGTCTGTCCTCCTTGGGCACTTATTTGGGCTGGAATAGTCCTAGGCTTTTTGAAGTGCAGTCTTGCACATTTGTTGGTAAGAACAATTCCTTCAAAAACTTAGTAGGATTCAGGTCTGTCCACTTCTAGTCAGTTCCATGTGCCAGTAACTGTACCCAAAGTTCCTTTCTTGATAGTTATTATGTCTGTCTACCTTGCCCAACACATCTTTCTCTCTTGTTTTAAATGAAAGTTACTCTAAGGACAACTGAAATAATAGACGTGGATGACAAGGCAACACTCCCACTATACTTTGACACAGGGGTGATCCTTCTGTTTGGCTTAACGTTTGGCCTAATACAGGCTTTGAGAAAGGTCCTGAGCCGTGACAGTCTGATCTCCTGCTCTTTGGATAAAACCAGTGGACATCAACCCTGAGGACCTCAGTTTTTTTGGACTCTTTTTTATCTGTCCATCTATTCTTGCATACTAGCCAATCTCTTTCTTGTAATATCTTACTAAAAGCAGCACAGAACAGCCAACACATGCAAATGTTTTTGGCTCTTTCCAACCGTTTTCCTAGAATTACAGGCTCAGTAAACATGTCTGTTTTCCAAGTTATCACAGGTCATGTTTGTAATAAGTGTTTTGTTATAGCATGACAAGGGCCACCAGCTCTTCATCCTCCAATATTTGTTTCCTTATTGCTCACCACCTATTGGCTAAGCCAATGCCACATATTTTAGGATTTTTGTACATGGCAGCTTCCTATTCCTGATACCGATTTCTGTATTAGAGTCCAGTCAGGTGCCACGTAACGATGTTTCAGTCAGAGAAGGACATGTATGACAGCGTTCCTATAAGATTATAATAGAGCTGAAAAATTCCTGTCACCTGCTGACGTCATAGCCATCATAATGTTGGAATGCCAACACAACTGATGCACACCACTGTGCTGCCAGCCATATGAAATTATAGTTTATACAATTGTGTACAGTACAAGTACTTGATGATGATAATAGACTATGTTACTGGTTTATGTATTTACTATAGTTTTTGTAATCATTATTTTAGTGTATTCTTTCTAATTATATACAAAATGTGTGCTGTAAAACAGTATGTGTGTTATGCCAGCAGCAGTCTCTTACATCTCGTGTTTACTGGGTCTCTTGATGGCTCCATTTTCTCTTGTGCTGATTTAATCTCATCTTGTTTTGCACAGTAACGTGCTGCACAGGCCTGTAGCCCAGGAGCAATAGGCTCTGCCACACAGCCTAGGTGTGCCGTAGGCTGTACCATCTAGGTGTGTTTAAGCGCACTCCATGATGTTCACACAATGACGAAACTGCCTAACGACACATTTCTCAGAATGTATCCCCATTGTTAAGTGGCACATGACGATATTGCTAAGCTGCTGTTAAAAGGAACTCCAAAATACAGTGGCCTTAGGATTACAGAAATTGATTTTTCTCTCATATAATCTAGCCCTGATGTGAGCATTTCAGGCCTCACCCCAGTGGGTAGTGGATTTTGATGGATAGTCAGCAGACTCCACAATGGCTCTCGCCTCCTCAAACTTTTCTTCCCCGTAACATTCTCCACCAGCAATGGCACCACGTCTAACACTTGCTCAGGCTGAATACATAAGTCAGCCTTGATTCCTTACCCCCTCCTCCCAGTCTAATCATTCAGGAAATCCTCTCAATTTTATCTTCAGCAAATCCCAAATCTGACTGTTTTTGCTGCATCTCCATTGCCTTCACCCTAATCCAAGATTTCAGTGTCTTGCATCTGAAGCCTAGAACAATCTTCTAAGTGGACTCCCTGCCTTTTCCTGGTCCCTTTCCAGCGTACGCTCTACACAGCAGCCACAGTGAGCTTTTAAATACATAAATCGGAGCATGTAGTTCCTCTGCTCAAAACCCTACAGGGCCTTTCCGTTGCTCTTAGAATCCAATGCTGTCTCCTTAACATGGCTGTCAAGGCCTTCTGCGACTGTCCCCTACTCCTCATGCCTCTTACCGCTCTGCTTTAGCCACGTTGACTTTCCTGATATTCCTGAATAAGCCAAACTTGTTCCTGGCTTTGGGCATTTGCACTAGGATTCCCTCTGCCTGAAATACTCTCCTCCCACTTGGGCATATGCTGGTTCCTTCTTTGTCCTCTGCAGGGCAGATGGATTCAGTGTAGTGGATAAGAGGGAAGACGTAGGAGCTAAGTCACCTGGGTTTGAGTCTTAGCTCTGCTGCTTACTGCTGTGTGACTGGGGCAAGTTGCTTAGCTTCTCTGTGCCTTGGTTTTCCTATCTGTAAATGATGATAATCAAAGTATTGTTACTCAGGGTTGTGAGAGGATTAAATAAAACGGTTAACACATTAAATGCATTAGTGCATGACAAGTACTTCAGAGCATGGCACATATTAAGCATTTTGTGGTGCCCTTATTGTCCTTCAGGTGTCATCTTCAATATCACCCGCTCTGAGAAGCCTTTCCTGCCACCCCTTTGCACATCGCTCCCAATCACAGCACCCACAGCGTATGTTCTTCTTTCTGGCTTTATTGTCTGTCCCTCCCACAAGAATGTAACTTCCATGAGGGCAGGGACTTTTCTAAGCTGGTACACAGTAGGTTCTCAAATCTTTGTCCAATGGCTATCGACAGAATGGAGGCCCAATCCTATCGATTCCCTCCTTCCCCAGTGACTCTCGCTGGGTGCCTTCGGGCCCTCAGCATCTCAGGACAGTGCTCACAGTTTCCTCTTGGGAGTTGGGGCATCCAGCAGAGGACCTTCTCTTAGAAGAAGCCCCAGGGGCACTGGTAGGCATCCATCCTTAGCAGGGGACTATAGAGCTTGGACTCTGGAGTCGGCCCCACTGGGTCCATCGATTACTTATCCTCTCCGTGCCTCTATTTTCTTATATGTAAATTGGGAGCATACCAGTTTACCTCACAGGGCTGTTATGAAAATTAAATAGGATAATATATGTAAAACAAAACGCACTGGCTGCCTTGGAGTACAACTCTCCAGATGGTAATTGTTGTTATTGCCATATCCGAGTGTCATTATTCTGAGCATGAATGGGGGTGCCCGCGGGACTTGGTGGGGTGGGGGTAGTGAGGAGAGGAACACAGAGAAGCCATCTAGGGAAGAGAAGAACTGGAATGGAATTGTGTTTGTATTCGCATGTGCGTGTGTGCGTGTGTG